GGAAGACTTTTGGTAGAAGGTGGGATTTTAGTTGAGACTTGAAAGAAGCCAGGGAAGATAGGTGGGAGTAGAATCAGGAGAGAAGGGTGGCTGTCCTAAAAAGCAAGGGAGAAGAGAGTCTCAAAGAGGAGAGAGCGATCACCAGTGTCAAAGGCAGCAGAGAGATCAAGGAGACCCAAGGCTTGAGAAAGGGCTGTTGGATTTGGCGATGAAGAAGTTGCTGGTAACTTTGGAGAGAGGCGTTTGGGTGGAAGCATGAGGTGGGGAGCCAGATCCTAAGAGCCTGAGAAGAGAGGGAGAGGAAAGTCACGGGATGGTGAGGTTATAGGAATAGTGAGGAGAGCCGTCAAAAGGCAGATTTACACGCTCCATCCAGGAACAGTGGCAGGGTTCATTTGGTCCCTGGTGCAGAAGTGAGGGAGGAGAGGTGAAGGAGAGACGCAGAAAGGAAAGCACAGGAGAAGGGGGCAAGGAGAGCTGTTGGGAGTGCAGGGAGTGAGGTGAAGCATGGTGGGGCCTTTCCTGAAACTGTCATTGGGGTGGGAAGGCACCAAGCAGGACAGCAGGTAGCCCAGAGCTGAAGTTTCCCCAAAGGTAGCACGACAGTGGGTAAAGACATGATCAGAAAGTAGGGGGTGATGGAGAGCTTCGATTTCGGTAGGCCTTTAAGGTTTGCCTTTTACCTGCTCTAGTGCTCACAGCAACCTTGTGAGGTAGCTATTATTATCATTAGTATTATTAGTAGTAGTGGTAGTAGTATCAGTATCATTATTAGCATTATTGTTCTGGTCCTTATATCATCATTGTCATTATTAGTATTATGTCTCCTTTTGTTTGGAGAGGGAGTATGAGTACATAATGCTGCAGATGCTTTCAATGGCCCCCCTTGAACCGACAGCTACTTTTTTTGTTACAGGAGAGGGTTCATTTGGTGGGTGGTGGGACAGAGGGAGTTACATCTTAAAAAATGATGTCAATTAAAGCTTTGAAAGTTTTTAAGCTAGCTTAAAAACCATATTAAGACTTTTGGGAGAGTGTGTGTGTGTGTGCATGCACGTGTGTCTGTGTGTGTTTTGTGTGTGGTGTGTGTGTGGTGTGTGTGTGTGTCTGGGTGGATGTGGGTATGTATACAGCCAATAAACATTTGTTAAACACCTACTGTGTATCAGCCATTATACCAAGTGCTGGGGATACAAGTGAGAAAAAGAAACATAGCCCCTGCCCTTGAGGAGCTTACAATCTAATAGGGGAAGAGAGGTCAGGCTATGTTGTTGTTTAGCCATGTCTGAGTCTTTGTGACCCCATCTGGGGTTTTCTTGGCAGAGATATTGGAAGGGTTGGCCATTTCCTTTTCCAGCTCATTTGACAGATGAGGAAACTGAGGCAAACAGGGTTAAATGACTTGCCCAGGGTCACAGAGCTACTAAGTGTCATAGGCCAGATTTGAACTCAGCAGGAGTCTGGTCTGGCACTCTTATCCACTGGGCCACCCAGCTGCTGCCAGGGAAAGACAAGACACAAACAAAAGCTGAAGAGAGATAAGGGGAGAAAGCTACCTGTCACTGAGGGGCGTGGTGGAGTCCAGTCCAAGGAGTGCAGCAGCTCATGTGAAATGAACAGTTTGTTGGCCTGGGAGCCCTCTTTAACATAGGCTTTGAGTGCACACACACACACACCACACCATGCGCGCACACACACACACACACACACACACACACACACACACACACACACACACACAGACTGTGAGCTCTTTGAGATTAGGGACTTTTTGCCCGTTTGTTTTCCTGTGCATTTTGCTGTTGTTTATCTCCAGCACTTAGCACAGCCTTGTTCAATGATCCCTCTATATGTACACTTACATATCTATACATACGTACATACATACATATCTATGTGAATACACATACACATGCTTGAACATAAAATAAATATCCAAGCTTGGAGGAAAACACACAGACTCCTAGCTCAGTAGAGGACGGCTGATACTATACCGCGGACACATTGCACAGCCTGGCAATGATTGGAAACCCAGCTGGATGGCTTCCATCCACTTGCAGTGTTAAGAAGGAATGTGGAAATGATTCATTAGTGTTGTTTTGAGTAGTTTATATGAACAGCTTCTAAGCAAATCCTGAGTTGACCTAAACAGTGCCTGTCCTCAAGCAAAGAGAAACACAGTCATAAACAGCCTCTCCACCCTGCCCCAACCCCTCCTAGAATTTCAAACTAGAAATCCCGGCCGGTTCCTCATTACCAATTTGACCTTGAGAGAGACACCACCTCCCTGGGCCTCTGCTGGCTCTTGGGTAAAGTGGGGGGGTTGGATAACCCGACATCGGAGTTCCTTTCCAGCTCTGAAAAAGTTTTGATCTCATGATCCTACAAACATTTATCTTTTGTGCTTGGAACTTAAACACAAATACATGTCTTTGGGGGTTTGGGAACCAGGAAGTGGCAGACACCATAAATTGTCTGATGGGAAAATCTAAATGATTAACATAACAAACCCTTGAATGTTGAGGTCTAGCTCTTGGCCTTAAAAAGCCAAATCTGGTAAAAACTGGAAGGTAGTTGTTCACATGATAGATTGAAAAATACCCATAATAATGTTAATTAGTGACTTTCTCGAACACTGTGGCTTGAGGTTGAGCTGAATTGGAACAAAAATTCAGATATCTTTACTTGAGAATTTTATTCAAAAGGTATCTTAAAAAAATTGGGATGTGCTGGTGCCTGGAACAGCTTGAGTCCATGGAGCTAGTATAAGGTTTAGAATTTTTTCCTGAAAAAGTCACCCCTCCAGATTCACACCTTCTATGAGATTTGACAATTATCATTCCAGGGAGGGTATATAGGTGTGAATCATGGGAAAGCATGGACAGAGGAATGTGTGGTTTGGTATGCAGGGACAGTGCTCAAGTGGACTCTCTTTATTAAGAATTCTCTCTTACTCTGCAAATGTGTTCATACCTATAGATCTGGAAGGGACCTTAGAGGTCATTGTATCCAGCCCCTTCATTATACAGATGAGGAAACTGAGAGACAGAAAGGTGAAGTCAGTCAGTCAACAAACATTTTATTAAGTGCCAGGGTCATCCAGTTAGTAAGTGTCTGAGGTGGAATTTGAATCCACAGTCTGGTACCTTATCCATGGTACCATGCTTTCTCTTCCAAGGACTCTTGAAAATCTCATCTATTTAAATAAAGCCTTTCTAGATGTCTAGAGGTGACATGTCGTAGTAAATAGAGTGCTGGCCAGAGGAAGCTGGGTTCAAATCGTGATTCTGTTACTTACAAGCTACGAGACCCTCTGCAAGGTGCTTCCTCCCAGCTTCAGGTCCCTCATCTGTGAAACGAGGCTAAAGAGAACCTACCTCCTGGCTGCTGTTAGGCTAAGAGGAGGCATGTGAGTGTTATGGAAATGTCAGCCATTGCTAGCATTATTATCAAATTTGCCCCCATTTCCCCCCGAATTTGCAGTATGAGAATCATTTAATACTGGGTCAGAAACCTCAGTCTGATGTTCACCCTTACTGCATTTCCATCCTTAAAGAGCTCTTGAGTTTTGAGTATGGTCCTTCCCTGCTCAAAGGGCCTTCACCCCATGTAGGGAATGCTCCTTTTGTCAATGAAGATCCCTGTCCTTCTAGGACGTAGTAACTAGTGAACGGTTCACCACCTAGCAACCACCTGGGGATGGCCCTTCCAGATTAGCTCTTATGATTCTGGGGTGAAAGATAGTCCATCGCTGGGCTCTTCAATGGCCTCTGACAGCCTAGGGAGGACCCACTGAATTTATGAAGGGGGAGACAGTGACTTTGATTATCTGTTCATATGTTGTATCTTCCTAGTTTAGGAGTTCTTAATCTTTTCTATGTCCTGGATCCCTTGAGCAGGCTGGTGAAGCCTGTGGACTCCTCAGAATCATGTTTGTAAGTATATAAAATGCAATTCATAGGATTCCAAAGGAAACTAGTTATTATAATGAAATTGCTTGGAAAATATTAAACAACTGCACAGACCCCAGCTTTAAATCTCCTGTCCTTCTGAACATTAGTTCCTTGGGGAAAGGGAGTGTTTCTCTTTTGACTTGGTATCTCCATATCTTACCCTTAATAGGCACTTAGTGAATACCTGTTGAATGAATGAATGAATGAATTCTCACTTGATCTTAGTACAGACCTGCCTTCTCTGCTCTGGTCCATTCTGTCAGCAGTCTCACAAGAATTCACCATGTTCTTTGCGTCTTCCAAAGCTCTTTGGGAAAGGAGGACAGGAATTAGGAGACAAAATCTCTGCCCTCAGTTAGTTCCTAGTCATGTGTGAAGAGAAAGGCTTAAATGTTTAGTGAGCCAAACTGAAGCTACAAAGAGATGTATGCACATGTGCTTAATTGTGGAGAGCTCTGAAAGGGTCCTCAGAGACCATCCAGTCCAAGCCCTTTATTTTCTTGATGAGGAAACTGAGATCCACAGAGAGGAAGTGGCATGTACAAAGTCCCTATATATAGTCTACAGGCAATGAGAAGCAGAAGTGGAATTTGAATCCAGGTCCTCAGACTTTCTAGTGCTTTCTAGTACCCCATGCTGCCTCTCTCCTGAGTGTTCACCAAAGCATTAAAGGTGGGGAAGGATAATTGAAGATGGGGATTGGGAAGGCTAGCAGCTGGGAACTGCCAGATTTTGAATGAAACTCAAAGCAGTCCTTGTGCCTGGGGCCAGCTGGGTGAGTGGATTCAGGCTTTTCCAAACCATATTCATCAGCATTTGTTTCTGTGACTGCTTATATTTCCCAAAACTTTGACAAATAAATTCTTAAGTTTCTTCCTGTCAAAGAGATCAATGATTGATTTTGATGCATTTTTCCAGTGCCAGAGTCATTCCTTATGTTAATGAGATAAGGAGGAGGTTAGATTCTTCTAATCTTGTAAACCCCAGAAGACGAAATCCATCTTTGTACCAGCAGGTTATTTAATTCAATTCATTTCTTCTTCATAGGATCCAAGGTTCAATGCGGAAGTGGACCAAATCACAGGCTACAGGACCCAGAGCATTCTCTGCATGCCAATCAAGAACCACAGGGATGAGGTGAGCTGGTGTGCTGCCCGGCACCGTCGGCTTTCCAGCTTTGCTCTGCTTCCTGAAGCACAGGATATGTTTTCTTACTTTGTCAAAATACACGAAAGTAACCATAAGAAATTAATGAAGCAGGGACATTGTGAGTCTTCTTTCGAATTAGGCCGAGTGTCATTTTGTGTCTTTATTCTTGGTATTGTTATCACCTTGGCTCAGTAAATGATTTGAGGCTGTTATTTCCCCCAGCCAACCTGATTTCAACCACACCCATCTAACTGTAGTGACTTAGAAGAGAATCCTTTCATATTCTATAGATCCTTAGTAAAGTCTGTTCTGTGGACATCCCTCTGACTTCTCAGCTGGTTTCAATGGATTTTAAATGAAAAGGAAAATAGACCAGATAGGCCTTTTTTTTTCCCCAAAGGTTGAAATTGTTGCTAAGTTTAGGCATACAGTTGTGGCATGTTGGGAATAGGGTGGGTGAGTGTGCGTCCATATGGGTGTGTGAGACAGAAAAAGAGAGACAGAGAATGTAGCTAGGTTGATCCAGCATAGTTATCCATGGCCACCCAACAAGCATTAATTAAGGGCCTATTGTGTATAAGAAGCTGTGAGGTAGGTGTTGGTAATGCGATGTGATCCTGGAATGAATGAATGAATGAATGAAAAAGCATTTATTAAGTTATTTCTTTGTGCCACGCTTTGTGCTAAGTGCTTGGTGTATAAATAGGAAGTCTATACCATCAAGGAGTTCATACTCTAGTCAAGACAAAATGAAATAAAGCTTCTGCCCTCAAGGAGCTTACCTTCTAAGGGGAGAAACAAATCCCCAAAGGGGAGAGGTAGCCAGGGAGGGGCACTTTGGCTCAGAAAGATCAGACTGTTAGTAGGACCATAAGGGAGTAGAGGGATGCACCCTAATAAGGGATTTTATTATGTTTTGTAGTAGGGAGGGAAGAAGGGTGGTGAAGGATATTTGATCAAGGGGTAAATACTTCTACATGACAGACATGTAGCCATCACTGGATCAGTACCTGAAAGCTTCCTACATTGGTCAGCTTAGTATAGATGGGGAAACTGAGGTCCCAAGAGGTTAAATGACTTCCATGAAGTCATACAATTCATATGTGGCAGAGCCACAATTTTAACCAGGTTCTCTGACTCTAAAATTAATGTCCTTTCCACTATCCCACAACTCAAGGCATATGTCACTTTTTTAAACTATTAATTGTGATGATGACGAAGTGATTTCAGAGATGCGGATAGCAAGGCCAGTTACTACCTTGAAATCAGTACTTGTTTTCTGCTGTTCAGTACGTAAATCCTTCTATGTTTTCTTGGTAATGGATCACAATAAAAGAAAGAAGATTCTTTCCCTCACCCTCTCTCAAAAAGAGGGAGAACCAATTGCATAGGTTGAGAGGTTGTTTGACTTAATCCATCTTCAACCACTCTGTCATCATAGCAGGGTGGCAGAGGAGGCAGAACTTTGAATTTGATGTCAGAGTTTCCATCATCCCAATCACCATCTGTATGACCTTTACAAGTCACTTTCCTTCCCTGGGCTCCAATGTCTTCATCTGTGAAATGAGGGGGTTGGACCAGATAACTTGTAAGGTGCCATCCTGCGCCAACATTCGACAGTCCTTGGTTATAACATGGGATGAGGACAGAATCAGTCAACTTAGCCTGCACCGACTTGTCATCTGTGGTAGAAACAGGTTTTCCATCCCTCTAGGGGTCTTCAAGTTAGATTACTGTTGTGGAAATTGTGTTGGATTTAAAGTCAGAGGACAGGGTTCAAATCCCACTTTTACCCACTACCTATGATGTTCAGTCATTTTCAGTTGTGTCTGACTCTTTGTATCCCTATTTGGAGATTTCTTGGCAAAGACACTCAAGTGGTTTGTCATTTCCTTCTCCAGCTCATTTTACAGATAAGGAAACTGAGGCAGGCAGTGTGAAGTGACCTGCCCAAGGTCATATAGCTAATGTGTCTGAGGCCAGATTTGAACTCAGGAAGATGAGTCTTGCTGACTCCAGACCTGTCACTCTATCCATTGCAGCTCCACCTAGCTGCCTGTGGTCTCATGTAACTCATCTGTAAAATGAGAGGCTTGGATTAGATGACTTCTGAGATCCCTTGCAATCTATGAGACTCTGATCCTAAATGTCTTAATGCCAGCTATGTCCGCTTCAGAGCAGAGCCAGCTATCACAGCACGCAGTTATTTAATAAAGTTTTTCCATTGTTTGTGAAGCTAAGCAGTCCAAGCCATATCTCAGAGGGACCTAAAAATTCAGAGAAACATAGATTTTTGTGGATGTAACATTAAAGGAAGTTGCAAACTTCAAAATTACCAATAGATGCATTCTCTTTGCTCTATTTTTATGAAAAAAAATTACTTTTTAATAAACAACAATTTATTTTCTCTCCTGCCTTCTTCTCCCTAGTGTGTGTGTGTGTCTGTGTGTGTATGGAGAGAGAGAGAAAAGAGAGAGAGAGAGAGAGAGAGAGAGAGAGAGAGAGAGAGAGACAGAGACAGAGAGAGAGAGAGACAGAGAGAGAGACAGAGAGAGAGACAGACAGAGAGAGAGAGAGAGAGAGAGAGAGAGAGAGAGAGAGAGAGAGAGAGAACCTCTTTGTGTAGTCAAGCAAAAGAAATTCTTGCATTGGCCACGTCCCAAAATATCTGTGTCTCATTCTGCCTCCTGAATCCATCACCTCTCTGTCTGGAGGTAGGTAGTATGCTTCATCACTGGGGCCCCTGAAATAATGGTTATTCATTGTATTGATCAGAGTACTTAAGTCTTTCAAAGTTGTTTGTCTTTACAATGTGTTTGTTATTGTGTAAATCGTTCTCCTGGTTCTGCTCATTCACTTTGCATCAGTTCATACAAGTCTTCCCAAGTTTCTCTGAAAACCATCCCTTCATCATTTCTTACAGCACACTAGTATTCCATTACATTAACATGCCATTACTTGCTCTGACATGCTTCAGCTAATGGGCAGGCACCCCCCAGTTTCCAGATCTTTGTCACCGCAGAAGGAGCTGCCACTTTTGTACATATGGATCCTTTTTTTTGTTCTTTGATCTTTTTGGATATGGGCCAAACTGTAGTGTTATTGCTGACTCAGAGGGTATGCACAGTGAGCGGCTTGGGTGGCCCCTAGTTCCAAATTGTTGCTCTGAGGAATCTTTTCTACTTAGTTGTGAGAATGCCTGCTGTTCCTGTGATGAATGTTGTGACCCAATGTCTGCTGGACAGCAGAGATTTTCCAGGACCAAGGGGATTCACCTCTGCCTAATCTTCCATTTAAAATAGCAACAACAACAGTAATCATAATGATCAGCGTTAAGAAGTCCTCAGCTGCTCTAGGTTTCTTCTCTCTCTAGCATATTGTGACTTTCTTTGATTTTTTAAAGATTTGCTTTAACGTCAAATCTTCTTCCTGGTGTTATTCTTCCGTAGGAGGATTCCACTGAGTATTTATGAGGAAGGAAGGAAGGAAGGAAGGAAGGAAGGAAGGAAGGAAGGAAGGAAGGAAGGAAGGAAGGAAGGAAGGAAGGAAGAAGGAAGGAAGGAAAGAAGGAAGGAAGGAAGAAAGGAAAAGGAAGGAAGGAAGAAAGGAAGGAAAGAAAGAAGGATGGAAGGAAGGAAAGAAAGAAGGAAGGAAGGAGGGAAGGAAAGAAGAAAGGAAGCAAAGAAAGAAGGATGGAAGGAAGGAAAGAAAGAAGGAAGGAAGGAGGGAAGGAAGGAAGAAAGAAAAAGGAAGGAAGGAGGGAAGGAAGGAAGAAAGGAAGGAAAGAAAGAAGGATGGAAGGAAAGAAGGAAGGAAGGAAGAGAAGGAAAGGAAGGAAGGAAGGAAGGAAGGAAGGAGGGAAAGAAGGAAGGAAATATTTACTACCGCACTTACCATGTGCTAGGTACATATATGCAGGTGACATGTACTATGTGCTAGATAGAGCTAAGAGCTGGAGACACAAAGAAGATGGCCCCTGCCAGCAGGGAGCTTATGTTCTAATGGGGAAGGCTACATATATAGGGAAGGGGTGGTCATGGAGAGGAGGTTTGGTATCATAAGGGACTGGGAAGGAGATTAGAGCTTCCGTGGAAGTGCCTAAGATGTCTTTTCTGGGTATAGCAGTGATAATTTGATTCTTGCTCTCAGAGTAAGAGGGGGAATGTATTGACAAGGGCTGGGTAAGGGAGGGAGATTTGGTACAAAGATGCCCAGAAAATAGGGTGGTGGAGATCTGGGTACCATTGCATATCTGGTGATGTGGGTCACTCAGAACCCAAGGGTTCAAACAAACAGACCATTCTCTCAAAACATATTCAAATACCCCCCAAAATGGTTCCCAAGATAACAAAAAGGATAAAAAGAAGGGAAAAGCAGATAAATGCTGCTCTCAAGGAGGGGGTCCTAGGAGTTCCCCACCAAAATCAAAAATACTATTTTCGTATTTTTCCTGACCAAAGGGCCCACAGCTGGATCCCAGACCAATCCACTTGGGGGTGAACTTAACAGCAACTGCCCCAGGTGAACACTATGGCTTCCTTGTTCCCAAGAATCCCAACTGGTGGGGTAAGAGTGTTTCCCCAGTCTACCAACTCACAAAAGATGGGGGTGGGTACAGACAGTTCAGGTTAGGAATGGTGAGCTGTCACCACTCAGGTGTGTGGGCCCTGAGGCCGGAGCTACATGCAGTTGCAGGTCAGAGACCAGAACAATGATACGGCATGAAGGTAACAGAATGAATATTAAGTACTTCTTATGTGCTAAGCTCCATGCCCATTTCTGGGAATACAGTTACCTCCCCCTATAGAGCTCACATTCTAATTAAGAAATTGACATCCAGAGGGCAGTGGTACTCAGGAAGGGGCACTTGGTTCAGGGGCATAGAGCAAGCCCCCACCGCCATTCAGAAACACTGGCAAAGTTGGTTGGACCATGTCATGGTTCGAGAACTGTTTAAAAAATGCAGGAGGCCCAGGTGATGAAGGGAA